GAAGAAGAAGAAGAAAGGAAAGAGGTAGTTCAAGGTCTATTTCCATTTTTCCTTTTTCTTTATTTCCTTCAAGTGGCAGATAAATTTTATGTTAAGATTTTAGGGTTTTATTTTGGCTCGAAATTTTCAAATTTTTTATATGAATACTACTTGGAGTTCAAGTTATTGATTCTTGAATTTCCATCTACGCTAAGGTAAGGAGATATCAATTTTTTTGGGCAAACCCTAGTTTTTAAATTTGATGATTGAGCATGGATTATTTGTGGAAATGATTACATTAATGGAATTATTCACTTGGAAGAATGATTTTGGAGAACGACAGATATATTAATTTGGTTGTAGTATGATTGCTAGTTTTTCACTAGAATGAAAGAGATAAATATTGCTATGATTGGAATGAAGTTAAATTTGGATGTGGTATATAATTGTGAAGGTATTAGAAAGTGAAAATTAGCTCCAATTGATTAAAGGAAATTTAGGAAAATTTTGCAAGTCTCGGGGAATTTAGTTTAATTATTATATCATTAGAGATAAGAGGTTTCTTTATTTTAATAGTGATTAAATTAGTTATTTTGTAACGTATTTCAGGTGGTAACGAAGAAATTGAAAAGGCTTACCAATCAGCCTAGTCTGTAACTCGTTTTGAGTGAGTGGATGAAAATTAATTTTTCAGCAATAAGTATTTATTCAATTTATATTAAATCAGAAAATTTATTATTTCATACAGTTGATTTGATAGCATGATTTTCAGAATAAAGTTGATTTATAAACGGATGTTTTTAAAGTTTGATCCAGTTCAGTTAAATCTTTTCATTAGCATGTTTTATCGATATTACATATTTTAGAATATTTAAAGTTATTTCTAAAAACCACCAGAAAGTACCCAAGTGATTTGACCCCAGTATGTACTGCTGTGAATGTGTTTCCATAGTGTATGACCAGTTATGGTGATTTTACTTACTCTGCATTATTGTGAATGTGTTTCCATAGTGTATAAATAGAATTATAGAATTTCAACTCTGCACGCGTATGACCAGAATTTCAGAATTACAGAATCGAATAGCTCTGCCATGTATATCCGTACTAACTTATACATGAGTAAGGTTATTCCGGGTATTTTTTGTGTGATTTTCAGTAAATTGCAGTTCGTCAGTTTTCAGATTACAGAATTTAGTCATTTCAATTTAAAAAATAAATGCTTTAGCTTATAATACAATAAAAGAAAATTTTTATTATATACCAGTTTTCAGAAAGTTGTCATATCTAGAAAATATATATTTACTTACGAAATATCCACTCACCGAGTTATAGGCTCACATTTTTATCACAATTTCTCTTATCAGGTAGTAGTTGAGTTGAGCACTACTGGCCAGTTGATCTATCGAGTTGAGCCATAGATTGTCAAGCATTGTATGATTCATCTTATCAGTTTAATAGTTCATCTTTTGGGATAGCACCTTTTTTGATCAGAAATTAGTTCCATGTTTTGCGCCTGCTATGTCTTGTATATATTATACATTTTGGGTACTGTGGTTTATAAATTGTTGCAAATGTCGAATTGCCAGTGTTGTATTTGAATAGTTGATATTCTGTGGGCCATTGTACCCTATTTTAAACTATATGTATCTGTTTGGGATATTGGATTATATATTTCAGGTGGTTTTAGTCCATATTTCAAGGGAAACTCTGCCAAAATTTTTACAAAGCATATCACAGTCAAAACAGGTCAAAGTTGTCTTGATGGTGGGCCCGACACTTAGCTGGTATCTACCATCGATGCACGACACGTGTCGGGTTTATTAGGATGATTCGGGACGGATCGTATCAAGTATAGTGGGATGGAGCATGTGAATGTGGAGAGTGGGAAGGAGGTGAGCATAAAGGAGCTAGTAGAGTTGGTGAAGGAAGTAGTGGGATATGAAGGGGAGATCGTTCGGGACTCGACTAAGCTCGATGGCACTCCAAGAAAGCTCATGGATAGCTCAAAGCTTGCGGGTTTAGGGTGGGAACCGAAGGTCTCGCTCAAGGATGGGCTTATTGATACCTACAGAAGGTACTTGGAGAAGGTTTCCAACGAGCAATAATGCAGGTGACATTTTCAATTCTCCATTGTCATGTATAATGATTTTTTTTCCTCACAATTCATTCGGTAGAGTAGGTAATTATTAGCTTTGTGATGAGATCTTCTGCTGTGGATTAATTAGCATATTTATCCAATTATGTTGTTGAAGAAGAGAACTGTTGTTCTGGATTTCGTATTTAGTAAACTATACTAAAATAAAAATGAATCACATGATACTTGGCTTCGGCTATGTTCACATATTAACTTCTATGAAATTGTATAATCTAATTTCGTCTAGTGATACGATCATAGCTTAAGCTCTAAGGAATTTTGTATGGTCTAGTCAGTATAAATATTAGATTGATCTTCAGCATATGCGTCTTTCCACGGCTAATCCTAATTTGAATATGGCATGTTAAGAGGAGGTTCACATATCAGAATGACTTAACCAACAAAAATACTCAAGAAACTAAAAAACGAACAAAAATTGTAAAGAAGAAATTTCATTAAACTTTTGACCTAAGGCAATAACACTCAAAATACAAGTGCTTCCATCACAAGAAGGACCACTGGCAGAATGAACTAGAACCAAGTTGTAAAACTCTGGATTTTTGGCACTCAAACCATAACTGCACAAGATCACAGAAAACGCAGCCTTTTCTCAACAATCAAGTGTTCACACAATAACACACTACTCAACTCAAGTAGAAATCACTCAAGTTTACAACGGTTTTGAGAGAGTAACATAAAATCAAAAGAGAATTTTGATTTTCAGAGGGGAGAAGACGAAGAACACGATCGGCCAGAGAGAAAAGAAAAGTATCGAAGAAGAAAATCTCGCGTCTCAAACCCTAGGACGCCTTTTATAGGAGTCACCAAAAGGTCAGCCATCCAACGACAATGGGGTTGAAACATGGCATCATATCGAGGGTCCATTCACAGGGTAAAACACGGTTTTAACATAAACACACTTTTGCAACAAAACAAGCCAACAATTTTAACAAATCAGCAGGTCAACACGTCCAGTCAGCAAGGGTGATTTGCATCATTGTGCCATCCTTATTATATGTTCTAGCCTCTGAGGTAATGCTCATTGGTTATTGAACCGTTTCAAGAAATCGAGATGGTTCTTATCTGATTGATAGGACTGCAATTGCTGATTTATTAAGCTAAAGTGCTGATAAATATGTGAATCGGATATCAAATTATCAACTATAGGCCTAGCCGTTTGAATCATGCTTTTGCTTATTATGATGAAGTTGTGTCACTACTTTTTTAGTGAGTAAAAGGAGAAAAGGTAAGAAGGTTTATTAACCACTTTGGGACCTTGGGGTATGTTAACAGGGTATACAAATAAAACTTGATGATTCATTGTGATGAGGACATCCCAATTTCATTATTTTAGTTGGACGACATTTAATTATTTTAGTTGGACTTGGGTTATTTTATTTTATGGACTTGTGTAATGGGCTTGGCCCCATCTTTCAAGGTTTTTAGGTTTTCAGTATTTAAACCTATTTTTACATTGCAATTGGGATTGATGAATTTGATTGAATAAAAGTTGGCCTCTACAGCCCCCCGTTTTTCCTCTCTTCTTCTCCCCTCTGTCTCTGTGATTCTTTCTCCCCCTCCCCTCATCTCTTCTTGTTATCCTTATTATTGAATTATTCACCCTGCATCAAATTGGTATCAGAGCTAAACTTGAGAATTTTCACTGCATCAAAAAAAAATTTCCGGTTGTCCAATACTCATTAAACCCATAATAACCTTGCTGCAGAACCCAGTCTCTGCATATGTTCCTGTCAACAAACTAACACACTGCCAATATTAACCAAACCAAATCCACAACGCGACCCAATCTCCATTCAACCGAATTCTCAACCGCCGTCGACCGTGACCCAAGCCTCCCATCCCACTAGAACCCAACTCAAACTGCCGCCATAGTACCTTCATTCACTGCCGCGCCGCTCGCAACACCCAGAATTCCCCACCCCATGTCCGTCAATACCGCTCGTAACCAGCGCCACCACACCAACCACTGGCAGTGGCCTTTGCGACCCTAAGCAACGCCAGGTTCGTCTTCAGATCCTTCCACAGCGTTCTGACTGGCGATATTGCAGCGCCCGACTCTCCTCTTCAAGCCTGCGAACTGTGGGGTGAGCCAAAGCAGTGGGTCGAAGTCTGGGGGAGACGGTGGTTATTTTTAAAGTTTTGTTGTGTTTTAATGCTTTTATTTTATTTTGAACCTCAATTAGTCCCTCTTGTTTCATTTACATAAGGTTTATTTGATTTGTATTATTTAAAAAAAAAAGAAGAAAAAAAAGTCCAAAAAAAAAAGAGAAAAGAAAAGAAAAGAGCAAAAAAAAAAAAAATCGAGAATTTTGAGAATTTCCTGACATTATTTTACAAGTTTATTTTAGTTGACTGATCAGTACCGCACCTCGACGAACATGGAATTTTCTATCTTGGCATTTCAGAGCTTAATAGTTCAGAAAGTGGAGACATTCGACGATGGGACAACTCAGGCCAACTGAACTCAGGGAGTTCCTACTCCTATCTATTTTAGTTGACACTATTTCTTTGTTTTAGAATTGCATAAGTTAATTCTTTGTGTGCTAGCCCTTTGATAATTTTTCTTTGATAATTTTTGCCTTAAATCTAATTGATTGAAATTCACGAACTCACTCCCATTGCTTTCTCGTTTACCACACGTGACTAAACCGATCATTTGTACCTTTGCTTTTATTTTATTTGTATTAGTATTATTAGCTTGCGATCGGACCATACGTAATCCCATTTTTTTTAAGTTAACAAACAACAACAATAATAATAATAATAATAATAATAATAATAATAAAATTTCAGATTGCGAATCTACTTTTAGCACTTGTTGTTTTTGATCTCTATAGCGCACCTCACATAGCTAGTGTTACTGTGTATGCAATTGCGTAGTGGTCGAGTTACTGCGTCTAGTGCTAGTACCCTTGCCATGGACCCTTCCCACATTGAAGCTATCACCCGACAGTTGGCACAATTACAAAATCAATTAACGCCTGTCCAAACTGAGTTAGCCGTTACTCGTGAGGAGAATAGAGCCCTGACCGCTAGGGTAAACACTCTTGACCCAACCCAATACTCAACTTAAGCTAAAAATTCTGACGCTTCCATTAATAGACCTCATCGTCGTCCACAAGGTGGTCGACACCATGCTAGACATGATCGTAGGGAAGGAAATCAAACTCGTAGACGCGAGCGGGAATATCACCGTCATGGTACACTATCTCCCCCTCGCCACGAGGAGCGCCTCTTTCAAAATATTAAGTTAGATGCCCCTACATTTGATGGTTGTCTAGATCCTAGTGTATTCAATCAATGGGTTAGAGATATGAATCGTTTCTTTGCCTGGTATGGGGTCCCTGAAGATCGGAGGGTACAATTTGCCAGTTTGAAATTAACTGGCACAGCTCAATTGTTTTGGGAAAGTGTTGAGGACCTCCTAGAGAGGCGCCATGCTCCCCCTATTGGGAACTGGGACGAAATGAAGCACCGCCTTGAAGAAAAATATTTACCTCAATCTTACAAGGGCAACTTGCTGGATCAATGGAACGTACTTACGCAAGGCAGTCGACCTGTGACCGAATATGTTGCTCAATTTGACGAGTTTCGAATGAGATATCAGGTCGTTGAGGATGAAGTCATGACCTTGAGTAGGTTTAGGCAAGGCCTACGGGATGATCTTAGACATGAGCTTGTTCTTAGAGGTGTCACCACTCTTGACCACACCTACTCTTTCGTTCGGGATTACAAGTTAGTGACTAGGACACCGTACAGAAGTCGTAGTGACTCCCGCACTGCAACCTCCTCTGCATCCACTCCATCCCCTAAGTCTATTCTAGGACCTCCTCCTTCTAATACTACCCCTACATCCGATAGTAAAGGTAGAGGTTCTGAGGTTTCAAGAACGTCCTCTCCTTTGCAATGCTTCAACTGTAAAGGTTTTGGTCACATTGCTTCTAAGTGTCCTAGACGAGCCCTAGTTTTGAAAGAGCATGAAGGTATAGTTGACGAGCCACTAAAGGATCAGGTTTATAAGCCTAAGTTAGAAGAGTTTGATGACTTGGAGGATAGTGAAGATACCTTCTTGGGTTGTATTCAGGCTAGTCCCCTTATACCACAAACGCCTAGAGTCGGTGTCGTCCGTTGTACTCTTACCCAGCCTAGGGATACCGATGATTGGCGCCATCATGCCATCTTCCACACTTACATCAAGATTAATAATAAGAGATGTAAAGTTATCGTGGATAGTGGCAGCTGCATTAATGTGGTTTCGATGGCTTGTGTATCCCGTCTAGGGTTGAAGTCTGTTCCTCACCCTCAGCCATACAGCGTCTCTTGGGTTGATACCTCCTCCATAGCTGTCAAGAAGCGTTGTTTAGTCCCTATCCAGTTTCTCGAGTATAAGGACCATATATGGCGTGACGTCATTTCAATGGACGTCGGGCACATAATCTTGGGACGACCTTGGTTATTTGACCTAGATCTAACCATCTATGGTTGATCCAATTCCTGCTCCTTCGTGTTTAATGAAAGGAAGATTCACCTTAACCCACTGCCCCCAAAGCCTGTTGGCCCATTGGAAACGAAGAAAAGTGTGGAACGAAAGGGATTGCAATCATTAGTCCTGCGGAGTTTGTGCGTACACTTGTTGGTGACTCAGTTGTGTTCGCTTCGTGCAACTAATCTATATGCTAACGTCAAGAAGTGCTCTTTCTTCACCGACACAGTTGTTTTTCTGGGATTCATTATCTCTTCGACAGGGGTATCCGCTGACCCTGCTAAGGTTCAGGCGATCATTGACTGGCCTGAGCTTAAAGCTATTCATGACATCAGGAGCTTTCACGGCTTAGCTACATTTTACCGTCACTTTATTAAGGGGTTTAGCACTATTATGGCACCTATTACGGAGTGCATAAAGAAAGGGGAGTTTCATTGGACACAAGAGGCGGTTAAGGCCTTTAAGTTAGTCAAGAAGCGAATGACGGAGGCCCCTATCATGCGTCTTCCCAATTTTTCCAAAGTCTTTGAAGTTGAATGTGACGCCTCCGGGGTAGGTATAGGCAGAGTCTTAAGTCAGGATCGTCACCCTGTTGCCTACTTCAGTGAGAAGTTAAATGAAGCCAAACAGTGGTACTCAACTTATGATAAGGAATTGTATGCAGTGGTCCAGGCTTTGCGCTATTGGCGCCACTATTTATTACCCCAGGAATTTGTCCTTTATTCAGATCACGAGGCCCTCCGTTACCTCAACTCCCAGAAAAGATTAAGTTCTAGGCATGGTCGTTGGGTCGAATATTTGCAGGCCTATTCATTTGTTTTAAAACACAAGAAGGGCGTAGAAAACCAAGCAGCTGATGCATTAAGTCGTCGTATCTCCCTTTTGTCGATCATGAGTGTCAAGGTCATCGATTTTGAAAGACTTAAGGAGGATTACAAGGTATGTCCCGATTTTAAAGATATCTTTCTTGATTTACAAAGGAGACAATTAGGCACCACAGATGGCTTCCGACTTGAGGAGGGTTATCTCTTTAGGGCCAATAAATTGTGCATCCCTTGAACTTCAGTGCGAGATTTCATCGTGTGAAAAATTCATGCGGGAGGGTTAGCCGGTCACTTTGGATGTGATAAGACTATTGAGGAAGTTGAACGTCAATTCTATTGGCCTAGCTTGAAGAAAGACGTGGCTAAGATTGTTAGTACTTGTAACACTTGTCAATTGAGTAAGCAGAAGAAGCAAAACACAGGTCTATACACCCCCTCCCTGTCCCCAATTGTCCTTGGCAAGATATTAGTATGGATTTTGTGTTGGGACTTCCACGCACCCCAAAGAAGCATGATTCTATTTTTGTGGTTGTCGATCGCTTCTCAAAGATGGCTCATTTTATCCCCTGTAGCAAGACGTCGGATGCGTCCAAGGTTGCCATGTTATTCTTTAATGAAATTGTCAAATTGTATGGGCTTCCCAAAACCATCGTGTCTGATAGGGACGTTCGTTTCACTAGCCATTTTTGGAGAACTTTGTGGCATAAGATGGGTACCAAATTGAAATTTTCTACGGCCTACCACCCTCAGACTGACGGTCAAATTGAAGTAGTTAATCGAAGTCTTGGTAACCTATTACGTTGTCTGGTCCGGGAAAACTTTTGAAATTGGGATTTGATCCTTCCTGTAGCTCAAATTGCGTATAATAGCTCCATAAATCGTTCATTAAGTATGAGTCCATTTGAAGCCGTTCATGGGTACAGGCCTAGGAACCATTAGATCTCATCCCTATGTCTCCACAGGCTAGAGTGTCAGTATCAGCCGAAGCATTTGCACAACATCTTCGTGACTTGCATATTGAGATCAATAAACAACTTGAAACTAGTAATGCAAAATATAAACTCCAAGCTGATTTACACAAACGACCTATTGAGTTTAACATTGGGGATTACGTTATGGTTCACATTAGGCCAGAGCGGCGTCTACATGGACCCGCCTCCAAATTGCAAGCTCGTAGTGCTGGTCCTTTTAAAATTTTAAAGCAGATTGGTCCAAATGCCTATATTGTTGACATTCCACCACACCTTGGTTACCACTCTACTTTCAATGTTGAGGACCTTGTAGCTTATAAAGGCCATTTCATTCCCTCAGATGATCCTCTGTATCTTCTTTTGTGGACCTTGATCCTGATTCTTTGGCCCCTTCTAATCCACTACCACCTCTCACAGCACACAAATAAAAAATTGATACTATTTTAGATGAAGAAACTGTGTTCACTAATGGTGGAGAGGTTCGGCGCTTCCTTGTTCGTTGGGTTGGTCGACCAGATTGTGACTGTGCATGGATCTCCAGGGAGGCACTCCAGCAATTGGATCCAGATTTATTAGAGTTTTATCGGAGTCAGCAGGATCTTCATTGGTCCAGATCGCCTCCCAACCACCCGAGGGGAGTTGGTGAGGACACCACGTTCAGACCGCCACTGACGCATTTCTACGGACGCCGGAAGAAGCTTGTCCAACCACTCAGCTTATGGTTGGGAGATTGACGGAAGTCTATAGTAATATAGTCACTCGACAGGGTCGAGTTTTCTCTCCCACCCCGGAAGAATTGATGAGGACATCCCAATTTCATTATTTTAGTTGGACGACATTTAATTATTTTAGTTGGACTTTTATTTCTTAGTTGGACTTGGATTATTTTATTTTATGGACTTGTGTAATGGGCTTGGCCCCATCTTTCAGGATTTTTAGGTTTTCAGTATTTTCAGTATTTTTACATTCCATTTGGGATTGATGAATTTGATTGAATAAAAGTTGGCTTCTATAGCCCCCCCCCCCCCCCC